CAGCCTCCTGAGTAGCTGGGATTACAGGCACGCGCCACCATGCCCAGCTAATTTTTTGTATTTTTAGTAGAGACGGGGTTTCACCATGTTGACCAGGATGGTCTCGATCTGTTGACCTTGTGATCCACCCGCCTCGGCCTCCCAAAGTGGTGGGATTACAGGCGTGAGCCACCGCGCCTGGCCTTATTTGGTAGTTTTCAAAGTCTGCCTTGTTTTGTCCCAAAATGTGCCTGAGGTTATCCTTTGAACAACAGACTGCTGGAAGAGCCAGAGAGCGGGAAGGAGAACACAGGTTAAGTCAAACATGGGAACTCCAGGCTTATTCACTTAAAAATTATATTAGCCTCACTCCTGTATGTCAGCTGAAGTGGGGGTGTGGGTGTCAGAAAGCAAGTACTGAGAAGGCGCCTCCTGCAGTAGGGGACACTGGGCAGTCGAGGGACAGGACACTGCTCTGTCCACATCACTCCTTGTCTATAGAGCTGTTTCCTCAGGTTGATTATTAGAATAAGCATTGACAGATGAAGAGACAGGTCTAGACCATTTTCACTGCATCGCCCAAGGTCAGACATCTGTGAGAGCAGAGGCAGGGCTGAACTCAGGCCTCGAGCTCATCTGGGGAGAGCATGTTTCTTTGCAGCACTTAATCAAAGCCTCACTGGGCGGGTTAGATCAGTGGATTCCCACGCTGGCTAAACATCCAAGTCATCCAGAGAGTATGTGTATATGTGGGTGTTTAATATACATTCTTGTCTCCTGATTCACTGGGTCTGGGGTTGGACCTAGGAATCTGTTTTGTTGTTTTGTGTCATATTGAGATTATCTTACTCTGTTGCCTAGGCTGGAGTGCAGTGGTGCAATCTCAGCTCATTGCAGCCTTAACCTCCCAGGCTCAAGTGATCCTCCCACCTCAGCCTCCTGAGTGGGACCACAGGCATGTACCACCATGCCCAGCTAATTCTTTTTAATTATTTGTAGACACAGGGTCTCACTATCTTGCCCAGGCTGGTCTCAGACTCCTGGGTTCAGGCAATCCTCCTGCCTTGCCCTCCCAAAGCACTGGTATTACAGGCGTGAGCTGCCATGCCCAGCATTTATTTATTTATTTTCTGAGATAGGGTCTCATTCTGTTGCCCAGGCTGGAGTGCAGTAGTGTGATCAGGGCCTCAATTTCATGGGCTTAGGTGATTCTCCCACCTTATCCTCCCAAGAAGCTGGGACCATAGGCATGCCACCTTGCCCGGCTAATTTTTTGTATTATTTTTGTAGAAACAGGGTCTCCTTATGTTGCCCAAGCTGATCTTGAACTCCTGGGCTCAAGTGATCTGCCTGCCTCAACCTCCCAAAGTGCTGAGATTATAGGCATGAGCCACCACACCCAGCCCAGAGTCTCTATTTTTCAGCCCTTCCCAGAGATTCTCAGAGCAGGGTTTAGGAACCAGGGCTGGAGTAGAAGCACCATGGTGGGTTCAGGAAGGCTCTGTCTCTGCTTGGCACCCACTCTTTGTTCTCTTTGGACTCTTTAGGCGTGGAGGAACCATGGTAACCTATGGGGGAATGGCCAAGCAGCCCGTCATAGCCTCTGTGGTAAGCTGGTCGGGGAGGCATGCCTGCAGCCGGGCCGGACACCTCAGCCAGGCCACATCCCCTGGCATGACAGCTGTCTAAACTTAGGCAATGCCTCATCCCTGGAGGGGAGTCGGTACCCTTGAGCGGTGCCTGGAATTCTTGCCCTCAGAGCCCAGCATGTCCTTTCTGTGTCCACAGAGCCTGCTCATTTTTAAGGATCTCAAACTTCGGGGCTTTTGGTTATCCCAGTGGAAGAAGGATCACAGTCCAGGTAAGTGCATGGCCCATTGCAAAGTGTCACAGATGAGGGCAGTGCCTAAGAAGGGCAGCAGAAATGACTAGCTATTCTGAACCCTGGAGCGGTGACTGGGTCTCCAGCCCCACAGAAGGATCAAGGAGAATAGCCTTAGCCCAGCTACAGTCAGCAAATAGTTATTAGACTAAACTGGGTTATTCTTGAAGGCACAGAACAGCTCCTGAAGAGCTGACAGTGGGGAAAGACAGTGAAGCAAAGAGAATAGACTCTGGAACCAGCCTGCCTGGGTTCAAATCCTGCTTCCACACTACTGGACAGAGGTGAGACCTTAGCAAGTTACTTAGTCTCTCCCTCAGTTTAAGTGTCATAAGTTTAAACTCTTGTTAGGCGTGTTTGACAGAGGAGGAAATTGAGGTTCAGGGTTAAGTAACATGGACAAGGCCACCTCCCCGCAGGGAGGGATGCAGCCGGGATGTGAACAGATCATCTCCCTGTTCTTTGTCTCCTGGAGGACTGGCTCCCCAGAGTGGGAACGCCAAACCCAGGACAAAGAATACTACGGAGTTACCCAGGTGAAGGGGAGGAAGGTGGTGATGTGAATGCAGTGTTTCAGGCAGAAAAAATCAAAATTGCATGTGCAGCTGGGCACTAAAGTGGTTCCAAGCAACCTGGAGCACTAGATCTGAGCTGGGGCTGGGAAATGGGGTGAGTGGGTTGTGACCAGGTTACCAAAGGCCTTAGAAACCTGATTAAGGCATTCAGACTCACTGGGGTTTTTTTTTTGCTGTTTTGGGGGGTTGGGTTTGTTTTTGAGACAAGGTATCACTCTGTTGCCCTGGCTGGAGTACAGTGGTGTAGTCACAGCTCAAAGCAGCCTCAACTTCCTTGACTCAGGTGATCCTCCCACCTCAGCCTCCCAAGTAGCTTGGGGGAGCACCACCACATCTAGCTAGTTTTTGTATTTTTAGTAGAGATGGGGTTTCGTCATATTGCCCAGGCTGGTCTCAAACTCCTGGCCTCAAGTGATATACCCGCCTCAGCCTCCCAGAGTGCTGGGATTATAGGCATGAGCTACTGTGCCCAGCCAAGACTGACACTCTTTTTTTTTTGAGACGGGGTCGCTCTTGTTGCCCAGGCTAGAGTGCAATGGTATGATCTTGGCTTACCACAATCTCCGCCTCCTAGGTTCAAGCGATTCTCCTGCCTCACCCTCCCAAGGAGCTGGGATTACAGGCATGTGCCACCATGCCCATCTAATTTTGTAGTTTTAATAGAGATGGAGTTTCTCCATGTTAGTCAGGTTGATCTTGAACTCCCAACTTCAGGTGATCCGCCCGCCTTGGCCTCCCAAAGTGCTGGGATTACAGGCGTGAGCCACCATGTCCAGCCAGGACTTGCTCTTTTTTTCTTTTTTTTTCTTTTTTTCTTTTTTTTCAGAGTTTCGCTCTTATTGCCCAGGCTGGAGTACAATGGTGTGATCTCGGCTTACCGCAACCTCCGCTTCCCAGGTTCAAGCCACAGCCTCCCAAGTAGCTGGGATTACAGGCATAAGCCATCACGCCTGGCTAATTTTTTGTATTTTTAGTAGAGACGGGGTTTCTCCATGCTGGTAAGGCTGGTCTGGAACTCCCGACCTCAGGTGATCCACCCGCCTCAGCCTCCCAAAGTGCTGGGATTACAGGCATGAGCCACCACGCCTAGCCAGGACTCATTCTTAAAGGTACTTCTTTAAATGGAAAAACACTTCTCAGCCAAGGCCTTCGCTTCTCAACTTCTATACCATATAGGGTCCTTCAGAAAAGGCAGGCCCAGGGAGACGACATTGGTGGCCCTGGGTTAAGGGAGTCCTGGGCTCTCAGGGAGAGCTGCTTTCCCTAAGCAGAGCTCATCCATTCCACATCACTTTGGCATGCCATGCACACCCACTCCCTCCCTGCACCTCCTCTGGCTTCCTTGCCTCAGTTCATCCTGCTTCTCCCATCATTCACTGCCCCTGGCTCCACCGTGGCCAGGTTCTGTGGGTCTGTGCTGTCATAGCCAGCACTCTGAAGGGTGGTCTCTGCCTGCCTGCCCATCAGCCCCTGGAGCCACTCCTATGTTCCTCTCTCCCCACCTGGACCTCATTGTCCTAAAGACAGGCAGGGACCGGGCTGCACACAGCCACAGCCACCCTATCCTTGGCACAGCCAGGACTCTCAAGGCTTTATTGGAACTTGGTGCCAGCTCCTGCCGATAGGGCAGCCCATGCCACATCCCACCAAGCCCCAGCTGCTGTTCCCCTGTCTGATTTCCTCCAACCTCCCACAGACCAGTTCAAGGAGCTGATCCTCACACTGTGCGATCTCATCCGCCAAGGCCAGCTCACAGCCCCTGCCTGCTCCCAGGTCCCGCTGCAGGACTACCAGCGTGCCTTGGAAGCCTCCATGAAGCCCTTTGTGTCTTCAAAGCAGATTCTCACCATGTGATCATCCCAAAAGAGCTGGAGTGACATGGGAGGGAAGGAGGATCCAAGGGGCTGGGTGCAGGCCCCTCAATCGGAGCTCTCACCTTCCCCAGACTACTGCCCTCCTCACTGCCTCTTCCTATTAGGAGGATAGTGAAGCCAGCCACAGTTTTCCCCAGGGCCAGCCTTAAGGTATCTAATAAAGTCTAAACTCTTCCCCTCCAAAAAGTAGAAGTCATCTCTGTTGAGAAGGACCATCACTACTGCACTGGTCAGCTCACAGCACCAGGAGGCCCCCTTCCTGCTTTTCTGTCATGTGTGCCGCTAGTAATCATTTTCTGACCACCCTGAAAGGAAAGCCTGAGTGGGCACTGGCAGTGCAAAGGCCAGTAGGCCACCATCCCTGCCCTCAGTCTGCACAAGGCCACAGAGGAGGATCCTGTAGAATGAATGGTTTGCTTTGCTTCTCGGGTAGCGTGCGGCCCAGTCCAGGGCATGGGGAGGATCTGCTGCATGGAAGAGTGAATGCCAGGCTGAGGTCATCAGAACCCTGAGGAACAAGGACATAGGGTCTCCACTGTTGTGGAACTGCCATTCTCACTGGGGACATAGACAATATCCCAGTGGTTCTCAGCCAGAGGCAATTTTACCCCCAGGAGACATTTGACAAGGTCTGGGAATATTTCTGGTTGTCACAGCTGGGGAGGAGGTTGCTACTGACATCCAGCAGGCAGAGTGAGTGATACTGTTAAACACACCACAGTTCACAGAACAGCCTCCTGCAACAAAGAATCACCCAAGGCCCAGCGCAGCGGCAACACCTGTAATCCCAGCACTGTGGGAAGCCAAGGCAAATGGATCACTTAAGCCCAGGAGTTCAAGGTCAGCCTAGGCAACATGGTGAAATGCCATCTCTGCAAAAAATTACAAACATCAGCCAGGCATGGTGGTATTCACCTGTAGTCCCAGCTACTTTGGAGGCTGAAGTAGGAGGATCACTTGAGCCTGGGAGGTCTCGACTGCAGTGAGCCGTGATCATGCCACAGCACTCCAGCCTATGCAATAGAGCAAGACCCTGTCTCAAAAAAAAAAAAAAAAATTTAGCCCCAAGTGTTCAATGTTCACAGGGTCATTGATAAACCCTGCATTAAACAGTCTCACAGTAATTACCATAGTGACTAAAGCTGTAAAGAAGATACGGGGGGTGCTATAAGAGCAGAATCAAGGTCTTGCCCCAGGCCCCGGGGTCAGGTGCTTCCTTGAGGTAAAGTTTGAAGGTGGGCTCTGACAAATGAGTGAACTTTATTCAGGCAGAGGGGAGAGCTTGACGTGTGACTTTCTGGTATTTGCTTCATGATCCACGTGCCCAAAGCAAAGAACAGGCTTCAGCGTGTCTCCCCTGTCACCTGGCCCTCTGTACCCTGCACTCAGGAGCCTCATTCAGGATGTACTTTTTTGAGATGGAGTGTCGCTCTGTCACCCAGGCTAGAGTGCAGTGGCGCGATCTCGGCTCACTGCAACCTCCGCCTCCTGGGTTCACACAGTTCTTCTGCCTCAGCCTCCTGGAGTAACTGGGACTACAGGTTCCTGCCACCATGCCTGGCTAATTTTTATTTTTTTAGTAGAGGCAGGGTTTCACCATATTGGCCAGGCTGGTCTTGAACTCCTGACCTTGTGATCCACCCGCCTCAGCCCCCCAAAGTGCTGGGATAACAGATGTGAGCCACTGCACCCGGCCCAGGATGTATTATTGGCTGCCTAGTGTGTGCCCAAAGCTAAGGATACCAATGAAAGAAGTGCTGCTGGCCCTCAAGTTGCTTCGCCTAGTGCAGTATTAACCACTACAGTGTAATGATGAGGTCACTGACATGGAGGTGTTCAGAGGGCCTTGGAAGGACACATAGGGGCCCCAGTTCTGCCTGAGGGCACCAAGGAAGGATTCCTAGAGGAATTGTCTTCCACAGCCAGTCTTGAAAACCACGCAGGAAACAGTACCAAGCAAAGCCGACAGCACATGTGATCGTCTGGAGGCCTGAGGGAGCCTGACACTTGGGGAACTACAGACAGGTGAGTGTAGCTGCTGCCTTAGAAGTGGGGGAAATGTGAGAACTGATGTGGGCCCCATGGGTAAGGGTCAGATCACAAAGGACCGTGATGTCAGGACTTACCCTGAAACCCTAGGGAGGCACCGGGGGACTTCAGTCAGTGGAGCGATATGGAAAAACTGGCTCAGAAGGTTTAATTGCATGCCAGTTTGCACACGGACTCCCAGAACAATCATCTTTTCTTTGGGAGCATCTTGCTTATCCTCTGGAGAAAAGGAATCAGGTTCAGCCTGGGGCTGGGAAGGTCTGCATTGCCCTCTGGGTAAAATTTGCCACCTTGTGGGCTCAAGATCAGCCCCAACTCCTTCCTGTTCCCCTGTCCTTTAGGTTAGTGGGACCAGTGATTGTACAGATGGTCAATGTAGGCCAGTGAAAAAAGCCTAAAAGGAAGGGGAGGCTGCCAGACACCATAGGAGTGAAAATTAAATTAGGTTCTTGCCTGGCACAGTGGTTCATGCCTGTAATCCCAGCACTTTCGGAGGCCGACATGGGTGGATCATGAGGTCAGGAGCTTGAGACCAGCCTGATCAACATGGTGAAACCCCGTCTCTACTAAAAATATAAAAATTAGCCAAGTGCAGTGGTGCGTACCTGTAGTCCCAGCTACTCGGGAGGCTGAGGCAGGAGAATTGCTTGAACCCAGGAGGTGGAGGTTGCAGTGAGCCAAAATCACGCCATTGCACTCCAGCCTGGGCGACAGAGCAAGACTTCATC